TGAATGTATCGTTACCACGTAATGTACTTTGTACTGTTTAAATATCATCGACGGGGTAGCCCGAGTAAGTGGGAGCAGAAGGAATAAACTGACACCTACAGTACATGTTATACATGTCCTTAAGCGAGGTGAATCCACACATCACAATTCTTTGCACCCTCGGAAGACATTATCCTCAATTTAATTGTCGCAAATCCGAATAACGAATGGCGACTGTTGGCTCACCGGGAAACGTGAGTTTAATTGCCTCCGTCTCCACTTAAATGTGCCACCGTGTACAGTACACTCTGAAAATATCCAAAAATGTTTTAGATGTTTTTTTTTAAATAAAAATGTTGCCTCTCAGTGGAGAGACACTGCAGCCGTGGAGGTGGTGTGATAGGAAACAACATCTGAGCCCGTGGTTAGACCACGTGGTTCGAACCCCTGCCGTCTTGTGCGTTAAACTAAGTCACCTTGCATCGCTATCCCCCTCGGCTATCGCTCCTCCGCACAATAGACAATGTTTCAATTCCGACGACGAGGCATCTGCGGTATCGTCTCGGTCCCAACTCTCCGGTGGGGGGGGGGGGCTCCATCCCCGCACTGAGCTCCTGGTCTCACGAGACATCTCAACTTGGCTGTGAGCCCGAGCGGAGCCAAAGGGCGAGGATAACGACTCCTTGCGTGTGCACTGTCAGTCGGTTCAACTCCAACACAGCGTCATGGGTCTCGGCTCATTCAGTGGCACGGCTAGGTTCTCTGCAGTGGAAATTTTTTTTTAAAAATAGTCTGGTGCCTTCCTGAAACACGTATGCGCTCGTTCACTGTGTGTGATGTCAGTGGCACGGCTCGGTTCCTGCAGTGGAAAATAAAAATAAAACACCTGGTGCCTCCCCGAGCCACGTACGGGCTCGTTCACTGTGTGTGATGTCAGTGGCACGGCTCGGTTCCTGCAGTGGAAAACACATTCTGGTGCCTCCCTGAGCTACGCATGGGCTCGTTCACTTGTTTGATGTCAGTAGCACGGCCAGGGTCTCTGCAGTGTAACAAAAAAACATCCTAGTGCTCCCTGAGCCAAGTATGAGCTCGTTCACTGTGTGTGATGTCAGTGGCACGGCTCGATTCCTGCAGTGGAAAAAAAAACATCCCGGTGTCTCCCTGAGGCACGTATGGTCTGGGCTATTGTATGTACGGCATGTGAACTTATTTCGCACCGTATGTAGAAGACCGCGCTGATCGTAGGTGCAGGGGAAAGACAACAAACTAAAAACAAAAGGCAGTTCTTAAGGACCATGAGTTTTCATTCTAGATTTAATAAGCACGGCGGCGACAAGATACGGTTGTCCAGTGGAAAACAAAAAAAAATATGTAGCTGTAGCCAACTATGCCTGCCGACAAGTAACACAATTTCCCGAGGATATCGAGAGACAGAGCATGCCCCGTGGGAAAAGTGCAATTGTCAGCTGCACCGCAAATGTTACCACCCACCATGTCAAACTTCTAAAGCAACTAAATCAAAGGGCAAGGCTTACCCTGCACTGACATTCTGTGCAAAGATAACTTTGAAAATGCCACAAATTGTTCTGCGGTTTGATTTAATGCACTGCAACTGAAAGGAATGCCTACTTTAATGTAGCTGGTGCACAAGAAGCACATTTTGTTTTGAAAAAAAATATATGTGGAAACATTCTTTTACAGGCGCCACGGGTGGTTTTTTTTATCAACGAGGGGATTAGCGGTATAAGAATATTAATAATTATAATGTGCAGCCCTTTGTCAATCCATTGATGGTTTGAAGGCCTACCCGTGCCATCGCTGTCACGGAGTTTGTTTAACCACCCTTCACTATGCTGCCCAGTGCGTGTTGCTGAAGGGGGGTGGGGGGGGCAGAAAAGGTGAAGATTTTGCTTGCCACTGGCATTAGCCGCGACCGGGAACCATCGTGCAGTGCGCTTAACCGCTCCGCCACTGCTTTCCCCATGAGGATATAATGTGCAGGGAATTTTGAGAATCAATCAATCGATATTTATTCTTCAAAAGCCAGTTGAGAGGCTGTTAAGATTAAGAGTCTCTTGTCGCGGGAGGCTAATGCAGCGCTCAAGTGGAATTCACCTCGTTCAGGTTTGGATGATTAAATAAAGCAGTGACGTGGTGATTACAAAACGCAATACATTTTGTTAACTCAACTACTTTATTGTAGTTATAGTTCCAGTGGCTCTCACCTGCTTTCTCATAAAGGGAGTAAATATATTTAATAATTATAATAAGACAGTGAACGCCCCAACCACACCCTGAGTTATGAATATTGAACAGACGACACAAAGCCACGCCTAGCTTTTATATATATTCACCTCGTAGGCGGGGCCAACCAGCCCACAGTTACAACCACCACCATCATCATCACCCCCACCAACCTTACACATTTTCCAATAACGCAGGGGAACGGTCTGAAAAGCCACGCACGCTCTGCGGGAAAAAAAAAAAACTGTACAACAAATTAAAAACATTTGCGTGAACAAATAGAGCAATGTCTCTTTAAAGAGTACAGCAACGCAAGCAATGCTCCATCCTGCTGCTGTCTGTCCGTTGTGCCTTTTGAGAAAACTGAAGGGGAAACTACGAAACTGCATCTGGCAAGACGAAGGCAACGTGAACCCGGTTCTGTTTAAGTAGCGCCCCAATCCCCTGAGCGAACGAGACGCTTTACAGGGCAGTGACACTGGTTGTGTTTCGGCTCGCTGTATAGGGACTTGGCAAAAGGCGAATGCAAAATACGGTACTGTGTTGAACTTATTTTGCACCGTACGAAGTCAGCCGTACATCTTGCAACTGCACGCTACAGAAAATGCATGGTCGTTCACGGTGTGTGCATCATGCATGGTTGGCTACGTACGGTGCGAAAGAAGTTCAACACACATGGCATACTATTAATCCCAGAGAAGCCTCAGTGAGTCTGAAGACGTGTTCATATGGTTCATGCCATACTGGGATGTGTGACCAAACCCATGAACCGAGTGCTTGGCTACGTGTGGCAGGATACCAGGGATCGGGGCGACTGTCAGCACTGCTATTTTCCTGGCCATGGCTCAGCTCCACACCGAAGCACTGATGGACTCTCCATCCAAGTACGAACCAGGGTTCAACGCCTGCTTAGCTTCAGAGATCCACCCTAATGCTGCAAATATGCATCCTAAACCATATTGACAGCGATCTTTAAATGTGTAATTGCAACAAATAAAACATAAATATATTCCAGACATTCTCAGTCCACCAGCTTGGGAGCAGCACGCTTGGCTATGTACGGTGCGCAAGAAATTCGACATACATACATACTGTACCCAAGCCATTTCGGTCATGGTTGGAGGAGGTGGTAGTCTAACCATACTTCACCACGCCGGTCAGTGCGGGTTGGTGAAGGGAGGAGGGGGTTGGTCGGGAGCTGTTCGGATATCACTCAGCACGAATGTTACCCGTGGTCTGGAATCCAACTCGGGGTGACCTATATTCTTAGCTCTTTCGGTAAAGTCACGTTGAAGGGAAACAATAAAATAATAAAATATATTTAAAACAACGTGACTTTACGGAAAGAGCTAAGAATATGAATTACTGCAGTCACGAAAGCTTTAAATCGGGGTGACCTGTTTGTTAGCACAGCGCTGCCAATCGCTGCACCACCGATCCATCGCGGCTAAAAACAGGTTTATAACAGAGCTGGAGTTTTTTGTTGTTGTTGTCTGATGGCATTCACGGTTGATGTTGCTCACAAAAGTTCACGGCACCGGCAGAGCTTTGCCCGTTCGAGCAGTAATCTCGTCGCATCATCGCAGGTACATCACGAGGTAGTAAGTCGCAAGCATGAATAGGTATCCGTGAGTCAGCACGCGTGTTTAAAATCACATCGCCCAAAGCGGATATTGGATTTTTAGATATGTATTGATATTAAAAGTACATTACAGAAAAGCCTTTGCCCTGATCAGTACACCTCTTCAAGTCGCTATGTCACCACGCATGCCGATAAGTGTACATGCAGCCGTGAGTAACGCGTGCATATTTCGCATATTTTGGAAGGTTCTTTTTGTACATCTTGCTTTCATTTATAACACCAGGTACATGTGCTGTATTGTATCTACGCGCTTTGATCGCTGCGTAGGAGCAAATTGCTGTTTAATCAAAGTCCAATAATTATAATCTGCGTGTCGTGTTTAAGTATTTGAGGAGGTAATTCTCATTGAGCGGTGATGTCATCAAATTCTAATTATACTTTAAATAATCATCCACCGAACAAATGCACACTAGCGGATTCCATCGTCCCTCCCCCTATCTCCCCGGCTGATTGGGGAGGCTTCCATCCGGCAGTGTATAGACCATGCTCATGATAGTTATGAACATATTCATACGTAAGATTGCAGCGATACTAAAGATTAACGGCCATAGGCAGACCGCTACAGCTGAATAGATAACACGAATTCAATCATCCGACGATGGCTCGCTTGCACGCAGACAGCTTTATGCGGGGCGGTGCTATGATTTAGCGTTCACATTCTTTAACGGAGGATGAAAATGCTGAATTGTACCCAATGCGCAGAAGGAATTACTTACCAATAACACGGACACGTCTAAAGGATAACCGCTAAGCACGCTAGCATCATAAAGTCCGACAGAAAAACGAAACCCCGAACGAAAAAGCTACTCTCGAACACCGCCACAGCACTGGGGGGGGGGGGGGGGGGCGGGTGTCATCTAGTCTCATAAAACTTTGCTCCGCGTTATGATCCCAATACATTGTGTGTTGTCTGTGTGCTTCTGTGTGTGTTTGTGTGTTGTCTGCGCGCGCGCGCGCGGGGGTATATGCGCGTTTTGCTTGACGGATGGCGAAGACGTGTGTCGCATTCGCTCAGCCAAATGTGTGTAAGCTCGGTGATAAACGCTCGTGTGATGCCTCCACACACACACACACACAAATATATACATGAACTGGATGTGCAAACACATAGAGAGACACACACACACAGTCTTACCGCGGACTCGCCACCGGTGATGAGCCAGGCGAAAGCGTTGGCCATGATAACCAGAGCCCACAGCTTGGCTCTCACGTCGTGTCGACTCATGGCCATTGCAGTAGTCTCTCTCTCTCTCGAGCAGCAGCAGCAACAGCAGTAGCAACTCAAGCCAGCACCATAACTGATTACGCCTCTGTTAACACTTTCTCGCGGCCACCTATCTGACTGCTCTGTGCGCGCTGCGTCGTCTCAGCTTCGCCTCGGCTCTTCTTCGACTCCGTTGCTGGTTCCCTCTGCTCGTGTGGCTCGTCTCGCACGGCTGCTCGACCCCCCCCCCCCGTCGTGCTTCCATGAGTGGCCGCCGAGGAGGTGGAGGGGGGGGGATGAGGATGGAGGAGGGAGGAGGGGAGAGGCATTCCCTCCTCCCACTCACCACGACCATCCGACCCCACCCACACTGCCGAGCGCTGTGCTGCGCACATACACAGCCCCCCACCCTCCAAAACACACACATAGCCCCCCAATCCCCCCCACCCCGATGCAATTTGCTCGCAACAAAGTTGCTTCAACACCTCGTCCAAAACCATCACTTTTTTGGCAGGAGCGGCGAGTGTTTTTTTCGTGTGTGTGCGTGTTGGTTTTATCGCTTCTGGTTGCTGGACGCGATTACATTGCAGAGGTTCGTTGGCTTAACAGTTTGTGGATTCGGACGAAACGTCGTGAATAGATTGAATTACTACTGCACCTCGTGCTGTGTATAGATGCTTGCCACGGGGGTGCGGTGTTGGGGGGGTGGGGTCCTGGGCTGGACTGCCGCAGGATAAGGGGGGAATTGAGGTGAGATGTTTCGGTATCGCAACTCCTGATAGCACGGTTGGCTACGTACGGTGCGAAAGAAGTCCAACATACGTGTGAGACGGTGATGCGTTGCAGCGCCCATTAAGCGCAAACCTTCTTAAAGTATAGCAAGCATTGGTCTGTAACGGTCAACTAAGGTTACACAATGGGGGCAACTGTCAGTTGCATTGTGATTTGGGTTTGATTTGGCGTGTATTTATATGCTTCGAATTTTATGTAAGTCTCAACGTGTGATCTTAAAATGTGTGATCATTGCCACTTGCTAGTTTCCATAATGATGTTAGGCTCAGTATGAACCCCTTGTGAACACAGTTCACGCTGGTCAGGGCCGGTTGGTGAAGCCGGGGCCAGCATAGACGGCGGAGCATAGAAGTACAATACAACATGTTATTTTGCCGCACCTCTACAAACTTAACGTAAAGCAGCCCTGCAGTTTATAGACGTTGACCTACAGTCAACATCATACCCCAATAACTTGCAATGTTTGGTCAAATGTTTATATATGCGCCAGAGAGAAATTGCAATCTGCAGTGACACGTTGGAATTCTCTTTAATTGTGATTCGGTAACATCCTAATCGAGATTTTTTCAAGCTAGATCCGCCTGGCATTAACTACATCCAGTAACACACAACGTACCCCCCCCCCCCCTAAATGCGTAAATAACAAACGCACTCATTACACGCGTGCCACACACGTGTCGCGACGGGATCGGACAGTTCCAGGACGGGAACGCGCTCAGACGGGGCGAGCGCGACGCATCCGAAGCTCGATTAGCGCTTGGGCGCTTGGGCGCTGATCGGTCGTCTGAAGACTTCGTCCAGCGGCGGATTCAACCGCGGGGCTCACGACGAACAACGGGCGGGCACGAGTCATCGTCTCCCCGAGTCTCTCTCTCTGTGTGTGTGTGTTCTCTGTAGAACGTGCGCACTGAGTGTGCCGTTGCGGGTTGGTTGGCCTCTCTCTCTCTCTCTACCAGTGACGTGTTCCCCCTCCACCCACCTCCTCCCGTGCTGCGGGTTGCGAGCGGGGAGGGAGGGAGCTGTGCTTGTCTCTTACTCCCCCCCCCCACCACCACCACCACACCACCACCCCACCGCTCCTTTCCTCTTGCGAACTTTGCTGCTCCCTTCGGCTCCCTTCCATAACTCCTCGACCAGCACACACGCGCGCGCGCGCACGTATCGCCGTTCTGCAATCGGCTTGTCAGGCTGGCGGGGGGGTCGGGCGAACCTCTTGTGAACGTGATGCTGGAGTCGTTTCGTGATACATAGGGGGGGGGGTTTTGTTGGTGGTTGTTGGGTGGAGAGGTGACATCGGTGAGCGTCTATCTCCCTTCTCTCTGTGCGTCGCTGCGCGGTGCTCACTCTCTCTCTCTCCCCTCTCTCTCCTCTCTCTGCTCGCTCAGACACACGCCGCACAACTTTTTACTCGTGAAATTATCGACGCCGTCGGCTCCGCTTGTTTTTCACGAAAGTTGCTGCTGCTGCTGTTGCTGCTGTTGTTCCCTTGGAAGGGGCCGAACAAGCGCAACGTAGTCGCTCAACAGCAGCGGCAGACCGGAGAAACCTCGGCAGGATCGGCGAGGAGAGGCGAGCGAGCGAGTCAGAGGCATCGCCTCGCAGTCGGGAGAGGCTCGCAAAGATGCGGTGGTGAGTTGCGGGGGGGGGGGGGGTGTGGGGGTGTATGTTGGTGTGTGTGTGTGTTATATACATCGGTAAACCTTCTTTAATGTATTCATAACCCATTTCGCCTGTCCGCGTTCAGCCTCAGTCGCGCGAGAGAAACGATGTTATCACAGACGGCACTATGAGCGTTGACCTGTGCGAGTTTACGCTAATACATGTTGTGTTTGTGATGTATTTATTTTAAACTGCCCCCCCCTCCCCCCCCCCCCCCCCCCCCCCCACTGTCTATCGGTGTACAGGGTGACCGTGCTGTTCGCGTTAGCACTCTGCACGAGCACTGCCAATGCGGTGAGTATAAGCACTGCAATAACCTCCGTTATTCATACAACAACAAAGTTATCGTGATATACAGACTGGTGTTATTCCACCGCTGGACGAAGGCCGCGTCGATCACGGGGGTTGTTTGGCCATACTTCACCGCGCTGGTCAGCGCTGCGTTGGCGAAGAGTGGGGAGCACCGATTGTTTCGCCGTGGGCTGGAATTGAACTCGGTCGGCCGGGCTGCATAGTGCGGTGCGCCAACCACTGCGCCACCGCTCCATCAGCATCGCTCATGTAGATGACAGTTGCGATGTGTATGTGTGAATGTCATCCGTGTCATTGGTCATGTTATCTTGAACAATCGTCGCCCGTGCCATGTAGCAGCGTTGCCTGACAGTTAAGAGACAGTTACAATCACATGCACTCACACCGACCTACTTTATGCGTGGTATGTATGAACGTATTACAAGTGACATCAGACCAACGCAATGCTATATTCGGCTGTGGACTTTAAACATATTAATCCACGATATGCACGGTTGTAAATAATTCAGCTACATGATGGGACGTTTGCACGGGTTGTGTAGTGTGTGTGACGATGACACGGGAGTGAATAATATACTGTACTGTAATCAGTCACCATGCACTTAGAAAGCAAGTGAAGGGTGTGATTTCGTGGGTATTGTGTGTACTTTTACGAACAATAATGCAATATTAATGTTTGGCGTATTTAATCATTGGGTTAGTGGGGGGGCGGGGGAATTAAAACAAATTGCAACTCATGTTGTTTTCAGACGTGTGTAAGTGTCCAAAAACCGAACTCAGATCTTGTCTAAGACTTAAATCATATGGGAGTATCCAAACATAAAAAAAACCGAGCGTCCCTCCCACGCGATGAATATTCATATATGGTAATAGCCAGACGAGACACGCCCCGCGTGGGCGGGATAGGAGACGCCCTTCATGAATTAATAAACAGGCGTGAACAATTGGAATGCATCGCGTTGGAATCCCAAGTGAAATGTTGTTTTGTAATATGGGCCCAATTGAACCTACAACTGGGAACGGATTTCAAAGTGAACGTTGTTGGTATGCCGTTGTGCGTTTTAAACTTTGTTTCAGGATTTTTATTTTCGCGATTATTTTACTTCCTTTAAAGTCTTCAATCGTAAACTGTGGTGCCTTTTAACGAACACCTTTTCAATATTCAAAGTTTTTGGGTTAGATCGCGTAAGTATAAATGTGTCGAAACCCTCCACCACCCGACACGGCCAATTAGTAAGGCATTTGTCACGTAAACAAAACGCCAAATAGTTACCACTTCAGCCCACCGGTGTGTTGAAGAGTGAATCCACAACATTTACAATCTACGTTTTGAACTGAACACCTCTTGTTATTATTATTCTTGTAATAAATGTTCCCAAAAAAAACGATAAGCTGTAATTAACATCTCATCGGAGACTGCCAGGGCTCTGATGGTGTTCAACTGGAGGCCACCCTAAACACCTGGGCGTGGTATTTTGGGGAGCGGTATTTGCCCCCCGCGATCCTTTAGACCCCACGAGCAGCACGGCTTGTAGCTGGCTGGGTGGTGTCCTAAGTTTTAAAAGCGTCCAGCTATAGCCCTGAGGCAGGGACGACGCACATCCACAGTTCCCCGTGATTGATGTGAAAACGTGTCAAGGTGTCCGGCCAGCTCAGCCCCACTGCCCAGAGGCTTTGCGCCCCAAAGTTTTCGCACTCGGTATCAGCTGCGATCCATGTGAGGTTTACCCACAGTCATCCTCGCAGCGGCGGCTTCTGGCTAACCATCGAAAACAGACGGCGGTCACCGCATCATCGCGCGCTTTCAGATGCGCTTCTGCGGCCGTCTGGAACGCTCTTCCGATATTCGGAAGCCACTGGAGCTGTGCACTTTTAAATATAGATTGAAAACTCATTTCTTTAGAAATGCTTTTTTGTGTTTAGCTTGTTGTCCTTCCTCTGCACCTCCGATTAGCACGGTTGGCCACGTACTGTGCGCAAAAAAGTCCAACATACATACATCGTCACGATAAGCGCTTGTGTAAAATATCTGCATCGCACCCATTACGAGGAACTGGGAGGGCCTCCTTGAAGATGAAAAATAACTACCAAGCAATAGCCCCAAGGGCACTGAAACACATTTGCACTCACCCAGTTTAGCGAGGTAAGTGTTACATATAATTCCCAGCATTATTGGAAATAATTATTGTTTTGTGTTGGATCGATCAATCGTGAATGTTTGGAATGCATTTAAGTTATGACGTGTTTGGAATGTGCTCTGTAGAGCAAGTTAAAACAAAGTGGCATCAGAATGTAGAATTTGAGGCACATGGAAATCATGAGAGAGTTCGTTTTTGTCCATTTCATCACGCATACAAAACATTTTGGAAATGACAATACTTTGTAAATCCACTATTGGATGAAGGCCTTCCATGCCTTTGGCCACCGTATTTTTTGACCATACTTCACCACACTGGTGAGTGGGGGGGGGGTAAAGGGGGGTGGCCAAGGACTGGTTTTGGTTATTACTCACCATTGATGTTAGCCGTGGCCAGAAATCGAACGCCTGTTACTGGGTTCAAAGCACAGCGCATAAACCACCTTCGCAACTACTGCTACGCCCCTACACCTTTTTGCCCTATGTATTTTTTAATTGCCAATTTTAAATTTGATTTGAATATCATTACAATCACACGGCAACACTTGTACAGCAATGCAATTGACCAATATCAACTGCGCAATATGTCGTGCGTGCTATGATATTGCATCTTTTCTTCATTTTTTTTTGCAACATGTAGGTCAGTAGGTGCATGTGTGCTCAGTGATAAATAACACAATTAATTTAAATTAAAAACACGTTTTCTTGTTTGTAAACCGAAGCGTGCATAATTCCCAGCAGATAAAACACATAATACAGAAACCCCAGATGTAGTAATCTGTTGCTGGTTAGTAGCAGACTGGGTTGTCTTGTCCGTAAAAATTAGACACAGATGTTTTTTGGTCGCAAGGGCCATGCCACTCGTGTTTTTGGCATTCGTGTTTCTAAGAGCTACTGCATGTTTATCAGGCAATCCCAGATTTTTTTTGCCATTTTTTTTCTCATATCTCTCAATTTTATACACATTTGTGCTTTTGGCGTCAAGTCACCAGATGAAGAAATAGCCATTCGGAACTGGCGTAGAGCCCAGTGCCATCTGGAATGTTCTTCCTTTCCATATTAGGAATCCACGAGAGCCATCCACTTTAAAATCTAGATTGAAAACGAATTTCTTTAGAACTGCTTTTTGTGTTTAGTTTGCTGTCCTTCCCCCGCACCTCTGATTATCATGGTTGGTCACGTACGGTGCGACAGCAGTTCTACATACATACACGAGGAGCTGCACGTTGCTTTAAAACTGATATTTGATTCTCTGGTTTTAGCGGCTGTGGTTATCTACAGATCAAGAGAAAGAATTACTTAATAAGATGGCTTTTTTCTAGACTCACTGGTGTACCAGAGACCATAAGCTCCATGCAACCACGGGCAGAACATGCAAACTCCAGGCGAAGTAATTCATATCTCGCCACCGCGACGCCCCATTTACTCCCTTAGCTGCCACTCCCTTGTTCGCCTTGACCCCTGTCCATTGTCCCATCTAGACCCAAGCCCACTGAAATGTTTCTTGACACTCAAACGCACGTCTTCGCAGTCATTACGATGGCCGCTATCGTGTTTCGTTTGGCACTCTGCGTTGCGGTCAACATGATCATTTTGTTGTTGTTGTTTCAACCTCGCTGCTCGAGCCACTGCCACGGCACTCGGTCCGGACTTTGCAGAGTGGATTAATGGCGACAGCTGCCGTCTCAGCCTCCAAACCCCTCGCCCTAGGTGTGAACACTATGCGTGACAGCGTTTGACACGAGCGCGTCCACGAATGCCGTCACAATGCTCGACGCGCGTAAAGTTATTGCAATAACCAGTGGTGGCAAAGAACGATAAAAAATATATATATTATCATTTTGGGTCATACAGGTTTTTCTTTCAGATTCAACACACCGTGCATGCTTTACTGCAAGAGCGGTAGTCCCATGACCAAATATAGTGTGGAGCTGTGCATCTGCCACTCTTGTGACGGACACGTGTTAACAAATGCGTACAAAGAGGTGCTTTGAATACACTTTTGTTCAAAGCTTAGGGAATGGAACCACTTTACGGAGGGACACAATCGCCGCAGTTATCTTTTTTGGATGAAAGAGAATAATTTGGAACACTCGCGCGAAACATTTTTGACAAACTGGGTTATGAGGCCCAGGGCCAATAATGAGTTGGTTGGCCAACCAGCCATCTATCGAAATCAGCTCTCCAGCCTCCCATAAATCAGCCTCCTGTAAATCACGTGACCTGTGTCTGCACAACCCTTACTCTGAATCCCTCCTTTATCCCTATCTCCTATCTCCTCATAAAACAGATATTGCTCCGTTGCAGCTCACCGCAGCTCACCCCTTCTTAATTCTCCTCCCTCTCCTCTCATTGTCACCACCATCTCATCTTTACCACTTTCTCATCCCCGGCATCTTGACCTGGCCATTTATTCTCCCCCCCCTCCACCTCTCCTTCCTTCTTCCTGCCCCACGCTCTTATTTTCCCCGTTGCTCATCTTGAGCCGTGGCCTCCTCTCCATCCATTCTTGGGCACTTCTGTCCCGCCTTCCCTTCGCCTTTCGCATTCGTCTATCCGTTTCCATTCATTATATAATTGACTCTACTGCTCTTCCCCGTGGTGCAGTGCCAGGGGTGAACAGTTTCACGGGTTCTACACATGCACGCCATTGTGTGCTGTTACCCACTGCAACATTTCGGTGGAACGAGACGGTGCGGCGAATAATTTGAGACAGACGCCGCACTGCCCATTCCCACCTCCCACTCATCCTCCCCTCCCGCCCGCCCGCCGTTATTGAAATGAAAAAATGTCAGTCCACCCTGTTCAGTGCATCACTGAAGTTAACCAATTAGGGCTTCCAAAA